TAAATCCCACACTATGAGTGGATTTTTACTAGATTCATATTTGTCCACATACTGTTTTAATTTGTTCTTAAACTGTAAAATCTCGGGATTTGTTTTACTTAACAGGGACTCATCATTCAAAATACGATTACTGACTACATCTGCTTCGTTGGCATACTGTAGGCCCAAATAAACGAAATTGTCATAGGTATAAAGTAAAAGTTTTTGTTCCGGCGTTGGATTCGCTCTTATTTTCGTATCTTCTTCGGAAGTTTCATAGAATTGGAAAGTATACTCCTCGCGCTTAGCTAAGGTTAATATGGCCTGTTAGAAAAAAAAAAAAATAAATATGAGATTATTAATGGAACACTATTTTTGATTGCCTACCATATACCTGTGTTAAGAACAACACATTAATAAGGTGTAAATTTTATTTGCCACCATGGTAGAGTTACTTGTTAAGTGGTTTCTAAACAACTGATAATTTATAATTGAAAGTCGGCTATATATAAAAATTTCCAATAGATTTAATGCAAGGTTATCATAATTCGTTTAACCCTTAGGAGAACATTTTGTTTATTTTGATCTGCAAACAAAGTACTAATTGTTAAGAAATCATTTAAGTAAAATTTTATGAAAATCAGAAAAATGTACTAAACTATAATAAACAAGTCTATAGTCTAGTCTATAGTCTAGTCTATAGTCTAGTCTATAGTCTAGTCTATAGTCTAGTCTATAGTCTAGTCTATAGTCTAGTCTATAGTCTAGTCTATAGTCTAGTCTATAGTCTAGTCTATAGTCTAGTCTATAGTCTAGTCTATAGTCTAGTCTATAGTCTAGTCTATAGTCTAGTCTATAGTCTAGTCTATAGTCTAGTCTATAGTCTAGTCTATAGTCTAGTCTATAGTCTATAGTCTAGTCTATAGTCTAGTCTATAGTCTAGTCTATAGTCTAGTCTATAGTCTAGTCTATAGTCTAGTCTATAGTCTAGTCTATAGTCTAGTCTATAGTCTAGTCTATAGTCTAGTCTATAGTCTAGTCTATAGTCTAGTCTATAGTCTAGTCTATAGTCTAGTCTATAGTCTAGTCTATAGTCTAGTCTATAGTCTAGTCTATAGTCTAGTCTATAGTCTAGTCTATAGTCTAGTCTATAGTCTAGTCTATAGTCTAGTCTATAGTCTAGTCTATAGTCTAGTCTATAGTCTAGTCTATAGTCTAGTCTATAGTCTAGTCTATAGTCTAGTCTATAGTCTAGTCTATAGTCTAGTCTATAGTCTAGTCTATAGTCTAGTCTATAGTCTAGTCTATAGTCTAGTCTAAAGTCTAGTCTATAGTCTAGTCTATAGTCTAGTCTATAGTCTAGTCTATAGTCTAGTCTATAGTCTAGTCTATAGTCTAGTCTATAGTCTAGTCTATAGTCTAGTCTATAGTCTAGTCTATAGTCTAGTCTATAGTCTAGTCTATAGTCTAGTCTATAGTCTAGTCTATAGTCTAGTCTATAGTCTAGTCTATAGTCTAGTCTATAGTCTAGTCTATAGTCTAGTCTATAGTCTAGTCTATAGTCTAGTCTATAGTCTAGTCTATAGTCTAGTCTATAGTCTAGTCTATAGTCTAGTCTATAGTCTAGTCTATAGTCTAGTCTATAGTCCAGTCTATAGTCTAGTCTATAGTCTAGTCTATAGTCTAGTCTATAGTCTAGTCTATAGTCTAGTCTATAGTCTAGTCTATAGTCTAGTCTATAGTCTAGTCTATAGTCTAGTCTATAGTCTAGTCTATAGTCTAGTCTATAGTCTAGTCTATAGTCTAGTCTATAGTATAGTCTATAGTCTAGTCTATAGTCTAGTCTATAGTCTAGTCTATAGTCTAGTCTATAGTCTAGTCTATAGTCTAGTCTATAGTCTAGTCTATAGTCTAATCTATAGTCTAATCTATAGTCTAGTCTAGTCTATAGTCTAGTCTATAGTCTAGTCTATAGTCTATAGTCTAGTCTATAATCTAGTCTAGTCTATAATCTAGTCTAGGAGAACATTTTGTTTATTTTGATTTGCAAACAAAGTATTAATTGTTAACAAATCATTTAAGTAAACTTTAATGAAAATCAGAAAAATGTACTAAACTATAATAAACAAGTCTATAGTCTAGTCTATACTAGTCTATAGTCTAGTCTATAGTCTAGTCTATAGTCTAGTCTATAGTCTAGTCTATAGTCTAGTCTATAGTCTAGTCTATAGTCTAGTCTATAGTCTAGTCTATAGTCTAGTCTATAGTCTAGTCTATAGTCTAGTCTATAGTCTAGTCTATAGTCTAGTCTATAGTCTAGTCTATAGTCTAGTCTATAGTCTAGTCTATAGTCTAGTCTATAGTCTAGTCTATAGTCTAGTCTATAGTCGTCTATAGTCTAGTCTATAGTCTAGTCTATAGTCTAGTCTATAGTCTAGTCTATAGTCTAGTCTATAGTCTAGTCTATAGTCTAGTCTATAGTCTAGTCTATAGTCTAGTCTATAGTCTAGTCTATAGTCTAGTCTATAGTCTAGTCTATAGTCTAGTCTATAGTCTAGTCTATAGTCTAGTCTATAGTCTAGTCTATAGTCTAGTCTATAGTCTAGTCTATAGTCTAGTCTATAGTCTAGTCTATAGTCTAGTCTATAGTCTAGTCTATAGTCTAGTTATAGTCTAGTCTATAGTCTAGTCTATAGTCTAGTCTATAGTCTAGTCTATAGTCTAGTCTATAGTCTAGTCTATAGTCTAGTCTATAGTCTAGTCTATAGTCTAGTCTATAGTCTAGTCTATAGTCTAGTCTATAGTCTAGTATATAGTCTAGTCTATAGTCTAGTCTATAGTCTAGTCTATAGTCTAGTCTATAGTCTAGTCTATAGTCTAGTCTATAGTCTAGTCTATAGTCTAGTCTATAGTCTAGTCTATAGTCTAGTCTATAGTCTAGTCTATAGTCTAGTCTAGTCTAGTCTAGTCTATAGTCTAGTCTATAGTCTAGTCTATAGTCTAGTCTATAGTCTAGTCTATAGTCTAGTCTATAGTCTAGTCTATAGTCTAGTCTATAGTCGAGTCTATAGTCTAGTCTATAGTCTAGTCTATAGTCTAGTCTATAGTCTAGTCTATAGTCTAGTCTATAGTCTAGTCTATAGTCTAGTCTATAGTCTAGTCTATAGTCTAGTCTATAGTCTAGTCTATAGTCTAGTCTATAGTCTAGTCTATAGTCTAGTCTATAGTCTAGTCTATAGTCTAGTCTATAGTCTAGTCTATAGTCTAGTCTATAGTCTAGTCTATAGTCTAGTCTATAGTCTAGTCTATAGTCTAGTCTATAGTCTAGTCTATAGTCTAGTCTATAGTCTAGTCTATAGTCTAGTCTATAGTCTAGTCTATAGTCTAGTCTATAGTCTAGTCTATAGTCTAGTCTATAGTCTAGTCTATAGTCTAGTCTATAGTTTAGTCTATAGTCTAGTCTATAGTCTAGTCTATAGTCTAGTCTATAGTCTAGTCTATAGTCTAGTCTATAGTCTAGTCTATAGTCTAGTCTATAGTCTAGTCTATAGTCTAGTCTATAGTCTAGTCTATAGTCTAGTCTATAGTCTAGTCTATAGTCTAGTCTATAGTCTAGTCTATAGTCTAGTCTATAGTCTAGTCTATAGTCTAGTCTATAGTCTAGTCTATAGTCTAGTCTATAGTCTAGTCTATAGTCTAGTCTATAGTCTAGTCTATAGTCTAGTCTATAGTCTAGTCTATAGTCTAGTCTATAGTCTAGTCTATAGTCTAGTCTATAGTCTAGTCTATAGTCTAGTCTATAGTCTAGTCTATAGTCTAGTCTATAGTCTAGTCTATAGTCTAGTCTATAGTCTAGTCTATAGTCTAGTCTATAGTCTAGTCTAGTCTAGTCTATAGTCTAGTCTATAGTCTAATCTATAGTCTAGTCTATAGTCTAGTCTATAGTCTAGTCTAGTCTAGTCTATAGGTCCTAGTCAAGTCTAGTCTAGGCATAGTCTAGTCCTATCTAGTCTATAGTCTAGTCCTACGTCCTAGTCTATAGTCTAGTCTAAGTCTAGTCGTATAGTCCTTAGTCTATAATCTAGGCCTATAGTCTAGTCTATAGTTCTAGTCTATAGTCTAGTCCTATAGTCTAGTCCTATAGTCTAGTCTATAGTCTAAGTCTATAGTCTAGGCTCTATAGTCTAGTCTATAGTCTACTCTATAGTCTAGTCTATAGTCTAGTCTATAGTCTAGTCTATAATCTAGTCTATTAATCTGTCTATAGTATATCTATAGTCTAGTCTATAATCTAATCTATAGTCTAGTCTATAGTCTAGTCTATAGTCTAATCTATAGTCTAATCTATAGTCTAGTCTATAGTCTACTCTGTAGTCTACTCTGTAGTCTACTCTGTGGTCTAGTCTATAGCCTTTAGGCTGGGTCTATAGTCTAGTTCACAGGCTAGTATATAGTATAGTCTAGAGTCTAGTATAGTCTGTAGTCTAGAGTATATTTCTAGTCTAGTCTGGTCTACAGTCTAGTCTATAGTACACTCTAGAGACCAGTATATAGTCTGTAGTATATTTCTAGTCTATAGTCTGGTTTTTGAGTAAGTAGTTTATAGTCTATTTTAATTTTGATATTTGGTTAAAATTTTCCGACATCGTTTATTATATCAAGCTTCCCTGAAATCCTACCTTCACGCCACATATTTATCAATATTACAAAAAAAAACCAAACAAATAGTTACTTATTTAAAATAATAAACAAATTCTCCCAATTTATTGACATTTGTTCATTAAATTTAAATGTTATTGAATTACTTATAAGAATTTTATAATATTTCCCAAGCTCTATAACCTTCTTATCAAATAGAAAGAAAAATAATAAAATAATTTAATTACATTAATTTCAAATCTTTTGATTAAAAAATTTAATTGTGCCATGGATTATGGTTTGTTTTAAAGTTTACAATATGTATATTATATAGATTTAATTCTATTATAAATAAAAACAAATCGTGATAACCTTTAAAATAAACAAAACAAATACAGATGTTAAGACTAGGCAGAGAAATTTATAAAAATCAGCGTAAATTATAACTCATCAGTTCTTCACACAACATAAAGCAGACAAGACAAGAAATGAAGACGTATCAAATATTTGTAATATTTCTGATTTTCAGTCTAACACCAGTAAGTTATACTTAAACACATTTGATTATTTAAAAATCAATTTAGATGAAACATTATGTTTTCAGACAAGTTTTGGCAGAAACACACCAAATCTATATGCTGTCGAAGAGCAAATACGCACTGATACATCACCTCGTAAACCAGTTTTAGTTTATGCTTTCGACAATCTCGCTTCGTTAGGCAAAGAATATATTGCCAGTGGTGCACAAATCTCTCGTAATATTCTTAAAGATGAGGACCTCGCCTCAAATGATAAACCTGAAGTAGAAATCTTTAAAAATAATTTAAAACAATTTGTTGAAAAATATGATAACTCTAACAAAGATGTACAAGAAATTTGGAATTTAATAGAAGTTTACGGCGATATTTGGCAAAAATATTATAAAATGCCCGAAGAGAAGAAGTCGCCAGAAGCGAAATTTATTTGGATTTATTAAACAAATACGGTTGTGAAAATAACAATATAGAATATGCCAATAAATTCCATGTTTTTTGCTGATGGCCTTGTTAACAAGTTTGAAGAGTCTAAGGATGAGATAGATAAGGGTTCGTTGATATGGTTGGAGCATTTTAAGGCCTCAACTAAATTTGGTGAAAAATTCGCTGGCGTACTGGAATATGTAATAACAATGGGTTAATTTAGCAAAAAATCTGTGTAAAATTAATTTGAATAAAATAAATAACCAGAAGAAAAATTTTGGAATTATTTTGAAAGTTCTTGAAAATGGGACAAATTGGTTCTACTGAATAAATATTGGAAAACTAAAATCACAATAGAATTTTGCACAAGCTAGTCGGACCATATTTCAACTTAGTCCTTATGGTCTTATACCCATCGATAAAGTTTATTAATCCGCTAAGAAGCACCTTCTGATTTTATTAAGCTATGTCTGTCCGTGGGTCCTTTGTTCATATATATACATCCTGTAGTCATAGTACATATTGAAATTTTGAATATAATTCGATGAAAGTTGACACATGTCATCACAGAAGAACCCTATCGGTTTTCGCTGACAGCGTTCCATTCGTTAACCTAGACTTCATATAGTAGTCTAGTCTAGTCTATAGTCTAGTCTATAGTCTAGTCTATAGTCTAGTCTATAGTCTAGTCTATAGTCTAGTCTATAGTCTAGTCTATAGTCATAGTCTAGTAGTCTAGTCTATAGTCTAGTCTATAGTCTAGGTCTAGTCTAGTCTATTAGTCTAGTCTATAGTCTAGTCTATAGTCGAGTCTATAGTCTAGTCTATAGTCTAGTCTATAGTCCTAGTCTATAGTCTAGTCTATAGTCTAGTCTATAGTCTAGTCTATAGTCTAGTCTATAGTCTAGTCTATAGTCTAGTCTATGGTCTAGTCTATAGTCTAGTCTAATGTCTAGTCTAGTCTATAGTCTAGTCTATAGTCTAAGTCTATAGTCTAGTCTATAGCCTAGTATATAGTCTAGTCTATAGCCTAGTATATAGTCTAGTCTATAGTCTAGTCTATAGTCTAGTCTATAGTCTAGTCTAGTCTAGTCTAGTCTAGTCTAGTCTATAGTCTAGTCTATAGTCCTAGTCTATAGTCTAGTCTATGGTCTAGTCTATAGTCTAGTCTATAGTCTAGTCTATAGTCTAGTCTATAGTCTAGTCTATAGTCTAGTCTATAGTCTAGTCTATAGTCTAGTCTATAGTCTAGTCTATAGATGCTAGTCTATAGTCTAGTCTATAGTCTAGTCTGTAGTCTAGTCTATAGTCTAGTCTATAGTGTAGTCTATAGTCTAGTCTATAGTCTAGTCTATAGTCTAATCTATAGTCTAGTCTATAGTCTAGTCTATAGTCTAGTCTATAGTCTAGTCTATAGTCTAGTCTAGTCTATGGTGTAGTCTATAGTCTAGTCTATAGTCTAGTCATAAGTCTAGTCTATGTTAGTCTATAGTCTAGTCTATAGTCTAGTCTATAGTCTAGTCTATAGTCCTAGTCTATAGTCTAGTCTATAGTCTAGTCTATAGTCTAGTCTATAGTCTAGTCTATAGTCTAGTCTATAGTCTAGTCTATAGTCTAGTCTTAGTCTAGTCTATAGTCTAGTCTATAGTCTAGTCTATAGTCTAGTCTATAGTCTAGTCTATAGTCTAGTCTATAGTCCTAGTCTATAGTCTAGTCTATAGTCTAGTCTATAGTCTAGTCTATAGTCTAGTCTATAGTCTAGTCTATAGTCTAGTCTATAGTCTAGTCTATAGTCTAGTCTATAGTCTAGTCTATAGTCTAGTCTTAGTCTAGTCCTATAGTCCTAGTCTATAGTCTAGTCTATAGTCTAGTCTATAGTCCTAGTCTAGTCTATAGTCTAGTCTATAGTCCTAGTAGCTTATAGTCTACTCTATAGCTACTCTATAGTCTACTCTATAGCCTACGTCTATACTCTACTCTATAGTCTAGTCTATAGTCTAGTCTATAGTCTAGTCTATAGTCTAGTCTATAGTCTATTCTAGTCTATAGTCTATTCTAGTCTATAGTCTATTCTAGTCTATAGTCTATTCTAGTCTATAGTCATTCTAGTCTATAGTCTAGTCTATAGTCTAGTCTATAGTCTAGTCTATAGTCTAGTCTAGTAGTCTAGTCTAGTAGTCTAGTCTATAGGCTAGTCTATAGTCTAGTCTATATTCTAGTCTATAGTCTAGTCTATAGTCTAGTCTATAGTCTAGTCTATAGTCTAGTCATATTCTATTAGTCTATAGTCTATTCTAGTCTATAGTCTATTCTAGTCTATAGTCTAGTCTATAGTCTAGTCTATAGTCTAGTCTATAGTTTAGTCTATAGTCTAGTCTATAGTCTAGTCTATAGTCTAGTCTATAGTCTAGTCTATAGTCTAGTCTATAGTCTAGTCTATAGTCTAGTCTATAGTCTAGTCTATGGTCTAGTCTATAGTCTAGTCTATAGTCTAGTCTATAGTCTAGTCTATAGTCTAGTCTATAGTCTAGTCTATAGTCTAGTCTATAGTCTAGTCTATAGTCTAGTCTATAGTCTAGTCTATAGTCTAGTCTATAGTCTAGTCTAGTCTATAGTCTAGTCTAGTCTATAGTCTAGTCTATAGTCTAGTCTATAGTCTAGTCTATAGTCTAGTCTATAGTCTAGTCTATAGTCTAGTCTATAGTCTAGTCTATAGTCTAGTCTAGTCTATAGTCTAGTCTATAGTCTAGTCTATAGTCTAGTCTATAGTCTAGTCTATAGTCTAGTCTATAGTCTAGTCTATAGTCAGTCTATAGTCTAGTCTATAGTCTAGTCTATAGTCTAGTCTATAGTCTAGTCTATAGTCTAGTCTATAGTCTAGTCTATAGTCTAGTCTATAGTCTAGTCTAGTCTATAGTCTAGTCTATAGTCTAGTCTATAGTCTGTCTATAGTCTAGTCTAGTCTATAGTCTAGTCTATAGTCTAGTCTATAGTCTAGTCTATAGTCTGGTCTATAGTCTAGTCTATAGTCTAGTCTCTAGTCTAGTCTATAGTCTAGTCTATAGTCTAGTCTATAGTCTAGTCTATAGTCTTGTCTATAGTCTAGTCTATAATCTAGTCTATAGTCTAGTCTAGTCTATAGTCTAGTCTAGTCTATAGTCTAGTCTATAGTCTAGTCTATAGTCTAGTATATAGTCTATATAGTCTATAGTCTAGTCTATAGTCTAGTCTATAGTCTAGTCTATAGTATAGTCTAGTAGTCTATAGTCTAGTCTATAGTCTTTAGTCTATAGTCTTAGTCTATAGTCTAGGTCTATCGTCTAGTTCCTAGTCTCGGTCTATAGTTAGTCTATAGTCTAGTCTATAGTCTAGTCTATAGTCTAGTCTATAGTCTCAGTCTATAGTCTAGTCTATAGTCTTAGTCTTATAGTCTAGTCTATAGTCTAGTCTATTAGTCTAGTCTATAGTCGAGTCTTCTAGGTCTAGTCTATAGTCTCGTCTATCGTTCTAGTCTATAGTCTAGTCTATAGTCTAGTCTATAGGTCTAGTCTATAGTCTAGTCTATAGTCTAGTCTTAGTCTAGTTCTAGGTCTAGTCTATAGTCTAGTCTATAGTCTAGTCTATAGTCTAGTCTATAGTCTAGTCTATAGTCTTAGTCTAGTATATAGTCTAGTCTATAGTCTTGTCTATGGTCTAGTCTATAGTCTAGTCTATAGTCTAGTCTATAGTCCAGTCTATAGTCTAGTCTATAGTCTAGTCTATAGTCTAGTCTATGGTCTAGTCTATAGTCCAGTCTTTAGTCTATTGTCTAGTAAAAATAAAGTGTCCATAAATTTACCGGTTGAGGGATGTTCTATTCGGCATGGCCGAATAGAACATCCCAACTTGTTTTTCTATTATTTAAATGTTGATAACCTTTAGCGAAACAATGAAGGGTCTTCCAAAATTTAGACAATATTTTCTGATAGTTAATATGAACATTTGGTTAGATAAGCTTAAGAAAACTGAACTTTTCTATTAATTAATTAAAAGTTGCACAAATGTTGACACACCCTGTACATTATATTTATCTGTATAAAAAGCATAAGGTCTTTATAGAAACTTAACAGTTCTGTAGAAACCTTTAAGTTAACAACACAAAAATGAAATTTAATAAAATATTGGTCATAGTTGTGGTCTTAAACTTACAACAGGTAATTTCAAAATTAATTTGAAACACAAATTCACTAATAATATTTGTTCTCCACACAGTCCACATTCGCAAAACACGTAGAAGAAAATGAAATAACCTCATTCGAGGAGAAATTTCGTAACGATCCCTCACCACGTATACAACTTCAGGACTATGCATACGATAATCTCTGTTCATTAATCAAAGATTATGCCGTCCGTTTTGTTCCTATTAGTCGTAATATTCTTAAAGATGAAGCCCTCTTGAGCAACCAAAAACCTGAAGTGTTAGTATTTAAAAAAGAATTAACGGGTTATGTGGAAAACTATGAGATATCCAAGAAAGATGTAATAAGACTTTATAGTTCAATGGGACCTTTTCTGAAAACTATCGATGATTATATACACATGCCTGAAGAGCGAATGTCTTCTGAATCGAAATTTATTTTTGAATTATTAAATAAGTACGAATATGAAAATCTCAATATGGAATTTATGAAGAAATTTGATGTGTTCGTTAATAGCTTTATTGATAAGTTTGAAAATGCTAAGGAGTATATGAGTAAAGAGTTATTAGAATGGTTTGAGGAATTTAAAACTCGACCTAAACTTGATAAATTCAATGATATTATTATTTATATTATGATAGCTTAATATTAAGAATATAAAAATGTTTTTTTTTTATTTTTTAATAAAGGAAAGTTTTTATTTCATAAAAAACACGACCTTGAAACCTATGATCTTTTTCGTCATTAATGTGAACTAGAGGCCAGCCACTACTCTTGGCTGTATACTATCCTAACTACAGCCCAGATAATAGTAAAATTTTTTACTATAGTCAAAACTTATTAATATTCTAATTAAATAGGTTCCATCTATAATTTAGCTTACAGTCGAGACTGGTATATAGTCCTGTATGGAGTCAATATTCAAAATGACAGTTCCGTCAATAGTCAGGCTAGACTGTAGGCTAGTCTATACATAAATTAGAGCTAAAGGGAACTATGTCTAGAGCAGACTATATGCTTGACTATAGATTAGACTATATACCAGACTACAGGCTATAAACTAGATTGTAGACCAGAATATAGAATAGACTACAGATTAGAATAACATATAGACTAAAGTACTAGACTAGATTACCAACGATTTTAGTCTAGTCTATAGTCTAGTCTATAATTCTATGGGTAGTCTATAGTCTAGTTTATTGTGTAGAGTATTAGTATAGGTTGTATTATAGTCTGAAGCCTAGTCTATAGCCTAGACTGCAGTTCTGTCAACAGTCTGATCCAGCTAGTTAGGTAGTAGTTAGTTAGTTAGTTAGTTAGTTAGTTAGTTAGTTAGTAGTTAGTTAGTTCGTTAGTTAGTTAGTTAGTTAGTTAGTTAGTTAGTTAGTTAGTTAGTTCGTTAGTTAGTTAGTTAGTTAGTTAGTTAGTTAGTTAGTTAGTTAGTTAGTTAGTTAGTTAGTTAGTTAGTTAGTTAGTTAGTTAGTTTAGTTAGTTAGTTAGTTAGTTAGTTAGTTAGTTAGTTAGTTAGTTAGTTAGTTAGTTAGTTAGTTAGTTAGTTAGTAGTAGTTAGTAGTTAGTTAGTTAGTTAGTTAGTTAGTTAGTTAGTAGTAGTTAGTTAGTTAGTTAGTTAGTTAGTTAGTTAGTTAGTTAGTTAGTTAGTTAGTTAGTAGTAGTTAGTTAGTTAGTTAGTTAGTTAGTTAGTTAGTTAGTTAGTTAGTTAGTTAGTTAGTTAGTTAGTTAGTTAGTTAGTTAGTAGTTAGTTAGTTAGTTAGTTAGTTAGTTAGTTAGTTAGTTAGTTAGTTAGTTAGTTAGTTAGTTAGTTAGTTAGTTAGTTAGTAGTTAGTTAGTTAGTTAGTTAGTAGTTAGTTAGTTAGTTAGTTAGTTAGTTAGTTAGTTAGTTAGTTAGTTAGTTAGTTAGTAGTTAGTTAGTTAGTAGTTAGTTAGTTAGTTAGTAGTAGTTAGTTAGTTAGTTAGTTAGTTAGTTAGTAGTTAGTTAGTTAGTTAGTTAGTTAGTTAGTTAGTTAGTTAGTTAGTTAGTTAGTTAGTTAGTTAGTTAGTTAGTTAGTTAGTAGTTAGTTAGTTAGTTAGTTAGTTAGTTAGTTAGTAGTTAGTAGTTAGTTAGTTAGTTAGTTAGTTAGTTAGTTAGTTAGTTAGTTAGTTAGTTAGTTAGTTAGTTAGTTAGTTAGTTAGTTAGTTAGTTAGTAGTTAGTTAGTTAGTTAGTTAGTAGTAGTTAGTTAGTTAGTTAGTTAGTTAGTTAGTTAGTAGTTAGTTAGTTAGTTAGTTAGTTAGTTAGTTAGTTAGTTAGTTAGTTAGTTAGTTAGTTAGTTAGTTAGTTAGTTAGTTAGTTAGTTAGTTAGTTAGTTAGTTAGTTAGTTAGTAGTTAGTTAGTTAGTTAGTTAGTAGTTAGTTAGTTAGTTAGTTAGTTAGTTAGTAGTTAGTTAGTTAGTTAGTTAGTTAGTTAGTTAGTTAGTTAGTTAGTTAGTTAGTTAGTTAGTTAGTTAGTTAGTTAGTAGTTAGGTGGGTAGGTAGGTAGTAAGTAAGTAAGTTATAAGCATTCAAGCGTTTATTGCCGAACATTTTCTTTTATTTAATATTTTCAAACACTTTCTCTTAAATTAATTCATTCTTATAATATAATGCATTATGGCAGGATATCTGTCCCCAAATTTATTTAAGGTCTTAAAATGATCCAACCATTCCAAAGAGTGCTTATCCATATGCTCCTTAGACTCTTCAAACTTCTTTATTAAATCATCAGCAAACTCATGGAACTTCATAACAAATTCGATATTGTTACTTTCGCAGCCGTATTTCTTTAATATTCCCAATATAAGCTTTGTTTCGGGAGTCTTTTTCTTCTCAGACATCTTGAAATATTTTTGCACAATATTGCCATAAACTTCCATTAAATTCCAAATAGTTTGTACATTTTCGTTAGAGTTATCATACTTTTCGATAAATATGTGTAAATCATTTTTAAATTTTTCCACTTCAGGTTGTGAATTGGTTGCGAGGGATTCATCTTTGAGAATATTACGACCGATTTGTACAGATCTGGCGATATATTCTTTACCCAATAACCCGAGTTGGTCGAAAGCGTAAACCAAAATTTGTTTTTGAGGCGAGGTACTACTATGAATTTGTTTTTCGAGAGCAAGCAGGTTTGGATTGTATCTGCCAAAACATGACTGGAAAGAAAACAGTTTTTTTTTTATTATTTTATTTTAGAGCAAAGTTTGTTTAAATACAACTTACCGGTGTTAGAAAGAGAATTACAAAAATTACAAAGATTTGATTGGTCTTCATTTCTTGTGTTGTTTGATTTAAGTTGTGTAAAGAACTGACAAATTTAAATTTATGCTGATTTTTATAAATTGCTAGCAGGTTTTAAACAAATTTTTTTGTTCAAATACTTTATAAATTTTCACGATGTTTTCAAATATATACTAAAACTCGTATACCCGGGTTACTTCACTATACTAGTCTACATTATGTTAGAATTTTCAATGAAATTTTAATAACCAAGTACTAAATATTTGTAATATGTAATTCTAGGTTCCGAAGTTTGGCCAGTGCGATGATGAATCGGTCACTCACTAACCTTAGTCTTTTATTTTCTTTATGGAAGAGATTAATTAAATTACACTCTTCGTAATTTCATATTTTAAATTAATTACTTTACAATAACAACGAAACGAAATAAAAACAACTAACTAACTAACAACTAACTAACGAACTAACGACTAACTAACTAACTAACTAAAACAACTAACTAACTAACTAACAACTAACTAACTAACTAACTAACTAACGAACTAACTAACTAACTAACTAACAATAACTAACTAACTAAAAACTACAACTAACGAACGAACTAACTAACGAACTAACGAACGAATAACTAACTAACTAAACAATAACTAACTAACGAACTAACTAACTAACTAACTAACTAACTAACTAACTAACTAACTAACAACGAACTAACTAACTAAACAAACTAACTAACTAACTAACTAACTAAACTAACTAACTAACTAACTAACTAACTAACTAACTAACTAACTAACTAACTAACTAACTAACTAAACTAACTAACTAACTAACTAACTAACTAACTAACTAACTAACTAACTAACTAACTACTAGACTATAGACTAGACTGCAGTCCAGACTATAGTCTAGACTGCAGTCCAGACTATAGACTAGACTGCAGTCCAGACTATAGACTAGACTATAGTCCAGACTATAGACTACACTATAGTCCAGACTATAGACTACACTATAGTCCAGACTATAGACTAGACTACAGTCCAGACTATAGACTAGACTATAGTCCAGACTATAGACTAGACTATAGTCCAGACTATAGACTAGACTATAGACCAGACTATGGACTATGCTATAGTCGGGACTATAGACTAGGCAGACTATAGACAGTGATAAATTTTCACATTGTGCCATGGATTGTATCAATCAGTTTTTCTTAAAAAAATGAATCATCAACATTAGTTAAATTCCAAGATCTTATAAATAATAAAATTGTTGTTTATTTGCAAAACTTTAGCATTAATCAAGAATTAATAATAATTGTAATTATTCTTAAAACAAAGAAAAAAATAGAGTATTGAAAAAATAGAAATAAAAACTCAAATCTGATATGGGCATAATTTATTTGGCTATTCAACCTTTTTCTCCGCGATTTCTTAGTTAGTACACAGAACATAATTTCAACTGTGCAATGTCAACTTTGGAAACTCTCAGTTTTTCTACGGGATCAAAAAATGTAAAGAATTTCTCGAAAGCATTAATTTTATCATCATAATCCTTGAGGGCTTTAAACTTCTCATACCATTCCAGTATTAATTTGCTGGCTTTATCCTCATCCTTAATCATATCCTCTTTAAGTTCTTCTAATTCTTTTCGAAATTATCCACAAAACATTAAAGTATTTCTCGAAATCATTATCTAAATCTTCGGAACCATATTTCCTCAGAAGGGATAAAATTAATTTTGAGTCCACATTAAGATCTGACTCATTCAATTCGTAGTAAAATGAAGTAGTATTGGAATACAATTCCGCTAAATCGAATAATTCGTCTAGTCCATCGCATAACGAATATTTCTCTTCAAATTGTGTTAAATTCTTTTTAAATTCTTGGACTATCGCCGATTTAGAATTCAAAATTTCCGGATCTTTTTGTAAATGTTCACTGATATTTTTTGCCGTTTCAGCATATTGCAACGAGAGTTGCTGGAAAGCTCTTACAGTAAATTTAAGCAATTGATTTGTGGGTGTTAGTTGGCTGTCAGTTTCCGAAGGTTCCATGCCATCATATTTGGTCTTTTGTAGACACAAATCTTGAGCTTTTAAAAGCTTTATCTCAGAGGTTCGATCTTGAGGTGAGGGTTTGGACCAGGTAAGCTATTAAATTAATTAAATCAAACTGTTAATTTTTTCTTAACTGAAAATTATGTGTAAAATTTTTCTTACTTGTAGTAAAACTATAGAAATTATTAAAATATATATTATATTTCGCGTAAACATTTTCCTTTATAATTTAATCTTTAGTCTAGGCCGGCTGTAATACAAATAAATTATAAATCTTTATTTATTTACAGTTATTGTTGCATTTAGATTTAATTTCTATTTTACATAGTTCAGGGCAAGGTTATCTTGAAAAGCTCTTTTTGCAGTTATATAGAAATACACTTTTAATTATTTTTACTGATAAAGTTTATACATACACACGTACACAGATATGTATATTTATGTAAAAGATCCATTATAAACAAATTTAGAGGTGACTTTTAGAGAAATGTATAGTAAACTGTAGTAAAAATTAAGTCTTAAATATAAAAAACTTTTACTTTTTTTAAACAAACAATAACTTCCAGTCAAGATTAGATTATATACTCATAGTCCATAGCTATAACATAGACTATAGACCGAGAAATAAAAGTCAATCTATAGTCTATAGTCTAGTCTATAGTCTAGTCTATAGTCTAGTCTATAGTCTAGTCTATAGTCTAGTCTATAGTCTAGTCTATAGTCTAGTCTATAGTCTAGTCTATAGTCTAGTCTATAGTCTAGTTATAGTCTCTATAGTCTAGTCTATAGTCTAGTCTAGTCTATAGTCTAGTCTATAGTCTAGTCTATAGTCTAGTCTATAGTCTAGTCTATAGTCTAGTCTATAGTCTAGTCTATAGTCTAGTCTATAGTCTAGTCTATAGTCTAGTCTATAGTCTAGTCTATAGTCTAGTCTATAGTCTAGTCTATAGTCTAGTCTATAGTCTAGTCTATAGTCTAGTCTATAGTCTAGTCTATAGTCTAGTCTATAGTCTAGTCTATAGTCTAGTCTATAGTCTAGTCTATAGTCTAGTCTATAGTCTAGTCTATAGTCTAGTCTATAGTCTAGTCTATAGTCTAGTCTATAGTCTAGTCTATAGTCTAGTCTATAGTCTAGTCTATAGTCTAGTCTATAGTCTAGTCTATAGTCTAGTCTATAGTCTAGTCTATAGTCTAGTCTATAGTCTAGTATATAGTCTAGTCTATAGTCTAGTCTATAGTCTAGTCTATAGTCTAGTCTATAGTCTAGTCTATAGTCTAGTCTATAGTCTAGTCTATAGTCTAGTCTATAGTCTAGTCTATAGTCTAGTCTATAGTCTAGTCTATAGTCTAGTCTATAGTCTAGTCTATAGTCTAGTCTATAGTCTAGTCTATAGTCTAGTCTATAGTCTAGTCTATAGTCTAGTCTATAGTCTAGTCTATAGTCTAGTCTATAGTCTAGTCTATAGTCTAGTCTATAGTCTAGTCTAGTCTATAGTCTAGTCTAGTCTATAGTCTAGTCTATAGTCTAGTCTATAGTCTAGTCTATAGTCTAGTCTATAGTCTAGTCTATAGTCTAGTCTATAGTCTAGTCTATAGTCTAGTCTATAGTCTAGTCTATAGTCTAGTCTATAGTCTAGTCAGTCTAGTCTATAGTCTAGTCTATAGTCTAGTCTATAGTCTAGTCTATAGTCTAGTCTATAGTCTAGTCTATAGTCTAGTCTATAGTCTAGTCTAGTCTAGTCTATAGTCTAGTCTATAGTCTAGTCTATAGTCTAGTCTATTGTCTAGTCTATAGTCTAGTCTATAGTCTAGTCTATAGTCTAGTCTATAGTCTAGTCTATAGTCTAGTCTAGTCTATAGTCTAGTCTATAGTCTAGTCTAGTCTATAGTCTAGTCTATAGTCTAGTCTATAGTCTAGTCTATAGTCTAGTCTATAGTCTAGTCTATAGTCTAGTCTATAGTCTAGTCTATAGTCTAGTCTATAGTCTAGTCTATAGTCTAGTCTATAGTCTAGTCTATAGTCTAGTCTATAGTCTAGTCTATAGTCTAGTCTATAGTCTAGTCTATAGTCTAGTCTATAGTCTAGTCTATAGTCTAGTCTATAGTCTAGTCTATAGTCTAGTCTATAGTCTAGTCTATAGTCTAGTCTATAGTCTAGTCTATAGTCTAGTCTATAGTCTAGTCTATAGTCTAGTCTATATAGTCTATAGTCTAGTCTATAGTCTAGTCTATAGTCTAGTCTATAGTCTAGTCTATAGTCTAGTCTAGTCTATAGTCTAGTCTAGTCTATAGTCTAGTCTATAGTCTATAGTCTAGTCTATAGTATAGTCTAGTCTATAGTCTAGTCTATAGTCTAGTCTATAGTCTAGTCTATAGTCTAGTCTATAGTCTAGTCTATAGTCTAGTCTATAGTCTAGTCTATAGTCTAGTCTATAGTCTAGTCTATAGTCTAGTCTATAGTCTAGTCTATAGTCTAGTCTATAGTCTAGTCTATAGTCTAGTCTAGTCTATAGTCTAGTCTATAGTCTAGTCTATAGTCTAGTCTATAGTCTAGTCTAGTCTATAGTCTAGTCTATAGTCTAGTCTATAGTCTAGTCTATAGTCTAGTCTATAGTCTAGTCTATAGTCTAGTCTATAGTCTAGTCTATAGTCTAGTCTATAGTCTAGTCTATAGTCTAGTCTATAGTCTAGTCTATAGTCTAGTCTATAGTCTAGTCTATAGTCTAGTCTATAGTCTAGTCTATAGTCTAGTCTATAGTCTAGTCTATAGTCTAGTCTATAGTCTAGTCTATAGTCTAGTCTATAGTCTAGTCTAGTCTAGTCTATAGTCTAGTCTATAGTCTAGTCTATAGTCTAGTCTATTGTCTAGTCTATAGTCTAGTCTATAGTCTAGTCTATAGTCTCTATAGTCTAGTCTATAGTCTAGTCTATAGTCTAGTCTATAGTCTAGTCTATAGTCTAGTCATAGTCTAGTCTATAGTCTAGTCTATAGTCTAGTCTATAGTCTAGTCTATAGTCTAGTCTATAGTCTAGTCTATAGTCTAGTCTATAGTCTAGTCTATAGTCTAGTCTATAGTCTAGTCTATAGTCTAGTCTATAGTCTAGTCTATAGTCTAGTCTATAGTCTAGTCTATAGTCTAGTCTATAGTCTAGTCTATAGTCTAGTCTATAGTCTAGTATAGTCTAGTCTATAGTCTAGTCTATAGTCTAGTCTATAGTCTAGTCTATAGTCTAGTCTATAGTCTAGTCTATAGTCTAGTCTATAGTCTAGTCTATAGTCTAGTCTATAGTCTAGTCTATAGTCTAGTCTATAGTCTAGTCTATAGTCTAGTCTAGTCTATAGTCTAGTCTATAGTCTAGTTTATAGTCTAGTCTATAGTCTAGTCTATAGTCTAGTCTATAGTCTAGTCTATAGTCTAGTCTATAGTCTAGTCTATAGTCTAGTCTATAGTCTAGTCTATAGTCTAGTCTATAGTCTAGTCTATAGTCTAGTCTATAGTCAAGTCTATAGTCTAGTCTATAGTCTAGTCTATAGTCTAGTCTATAGTCTAGTCTATAGTCTAGTCTATAGTCTAGTCTATAGTCTAGTCTATAGTCTAGTCTATAGTCTAGTCTATAGTCTAGTCTATAGTCTAGTCTATAGTCTAGTCTATAGTCTAGCCTGTAGTCTAGTCTATAGTCTAGTCTATAGTCTAGCCTGTAGTCTAGTCTATAGTCTAGTCTATAGTCTAGTCTAGTCTAGTCTAGTCTATAGTCTAGTCTATAGTCTAGTCTATAGTCTAGTCTATAGTCTAGTCTATAGTCTAGTCTATAGTCTAGTCTATAGTCTAGTCTATAGTCTAGTCTATAGTCTAGTCTATAGTCTAGTCTATAGTCTAGTCTATAGTCTAGTCTATAGTCTAGTCTATAGTCTAGTCTATAGTCTAGTCTATAGTCTAGTCTATAGTCTAGTCTATAGTCTAGTCTATAGTCTAGTCTATAGTCTAGTCTAGTCTATGGTCTAGTCTATAGTCTAGTCTAGTCTATAGTCTGGACTATAGTCAATTCTAGTCGATAGTCTGGACTATAGTCTAGTCTATGATCGGGACAATAGTGTAGTCTATGTTCGGGACTATAGCGTAGTCTATGTTCGGGACTATAGCGTAGTATATAGTCTAGTCTATAGTCTAGTTTGTAGTCTAGTTTAGTATGTAAACAATTTTATTTTACATCCTGAACAATAGTCTGGACTATAGTCTAGTTTATTGTTCGTGCCATAGTCTAGTCTATTACAAAATTTTAATTATTTTCTACAGTCTATGCTACGATTCCGACTAAAAATGTTCTATATTGATAAGTTTTGTATGATATTGAAATAACTATTCTAGATTTCAGTTGGCTTCCATACAAATAACTGCCCAGAATACTTTTTTAATTCTCATAAAAATGTTTTATGTTTCCGAAAAGTTCAAAAGATTCGAACCCTAAAGACCAAATTCGAAAACACATGCTTTGTTTTAAATTTGATTTTATTGTACGTTTTCTTAAACAAGTTCTATAAATTCATTTATCGATGACATTTTCTCATTGAAATTGGTCATTTTTATGAATTTATCATACCAAGCTAATAGGGGCTCTTCCAAGTCATTTCTGAAATCTTCAAACATTGTTTTGAATTCCTCCATAAAATTGGTATAATGTTCGATGAATGTAATGGAATAACTTTTGCAACTGTATTTGTTTAATAACTGGACAATAAATTTCGTTTCCTCGGTTACTTTCTCCTCGGGTAGTTGATAATACGATTCGGTAATATTGTTAAAACATCATTGATTGAGACATAAATTGATTTGATATTACTGCTAGTGGGATCATATTTTCCAAATATTGAATAAGTTTCTTTTTAAATTCTACCACTGGGGTTGAAGGTTTTCCTTTAAAGCTTCGTCTTTAAGTAAAAATTGCGTGGCATTAGTAGCATTAGCGGCATATTGTTGGGGCACGGTAATTAAGCTGTCTAAGGTAAATATTAAAAGTTTTTCTGATGCACTACCAGTTATTCTCCATTCATCTACGGCCGCTTCAATATCATCCAAGTTTACGGCCACATCTTTAATGTCATATTTGTTTAAGAGTTCATAATAAATTTGGATTCCGGTGTTATTTTCTCCTTCGGAAGCTCAAAATATAGGTGGTGGTATTCATAAATATTTCCATAGTTTTATGCGTCTCTTTAAGATTCGCTGCCGGATCATATTTATCTATAAACATGGTGAGATTCTTTTTAAACTAATATTTCTGAACTATTGTTGGCCATT